CCTTACTTTCCCTTTGTCATTCTTTGTTTGTCTTCTCTCCATTCCTCTTGCCTTTGGTTATCCTCTCCGTCCCCCGTTTACTCTGCCTCTTTCTCACAGCGTACAAGTGGGCCGTTATGGCACACGGGGATGCTGGCAGCCCGCACTCAACTTCATCAACGAGGCGAGCCTTGTACTTGAGAGGCACGGGGAAGGGGGAGTTAAAGAAGAATGAGAAAAATGAATGGGTTCAGTGTGCCCTTTTTTTTTTTTTTTTTTGTACCGTTTGTTTCAGAAAGTGCGCTCTTTTAATTCATATATATTGTCACAAGAATATCAGAGCGCAAAAACGGAAAAAAGGAAAAAAGAAAGAAAACAAAGAAAAAATGAATTCGTTTTTTTTTTTTTATCTTCTTCGTTACAACTCCCCCTGTTCAGAACCTCTTGCGTACAAGGCCGCCCACGTGGATGTAGGTTGAGCTGAGCGGCGGCTGCCCCCACCCCCGTGTGTCATATCGATCCACTTGCACACAGCCAAAAGGCAAAGAGCCAAAGAAAGAGGAAGGGAACAGCCAAATATAACAAAACAGGGGGAAACAAGCATAAACAAATCCTAGATGACAAGTCCCACATGCAAGCACCGCCCCCTCCGTCACAGGCCAAACAACGGGACAAGATCAACCAGGATATCAAAACACCCTTGCCTGCAAACAAGCAATCCCAGATAACAAACCTTTCGTACTCACCAGCGACTCTGCGTCAACTCCAAAGAATCCTTTGCTATTGTTTTTTGTTGCAAAAACTGGTATCGTTTTCATCTTTCTACTGCTTCGCTGTTCCAAACTAAAATACTGGGACACCACCAACGGCAAAAAAAAAACAAAAAAGACAATCCCAGATGGCGATTCCCACAGAAAAGCACCGCCCCAACGCCAAGGCCGAACAACGGGAAACAGCCAACTAGGATGCCAAAAGGATTAAAAAACCCGGATGACATGTCCCACATGAAATCACCGCCACGGACACCCTACCGTAAGCCGAACGACGGGACGAAACCAACCGGGATGCAGACAAGGGTGCCAAAATTACCAAATCTGCCATAACCATAATAAAAAGACGGATCCATACAAAGCAAAGATCCCAGATGACGATTCCCACATGAAAGCACCGTCCCCAAATCAGACCAAACAACGGGAATCAACCAACATCGTCAAACAGATCTGCCTACGGTAAACCGTAGGCAGAGAGGGAGGGAGAAGAGGACAACAAACGAGGGGCTGTGACAAACTGTTTCATCAGACTTGGACTCTGTCGGAGCTTCACCGACTCATCAGGAGGCTGAACATACATAGAGAGAGAGAGAGAGAGAGAGAGAGAGAGAGAGAGAGAGAGAGAGAGAGAGAGAGAGAGAGAGAGAGAGAGAGAGAGAGAGAAAGATGTATGCACTGCGAAGGTGTGTCAATGTGTGTGCAAATTCTTATAGCTGTACCTTTACTCAGCCGCATGCTGTGTGGCTAGAACCTTTGGGCTTCCTCCAACTCCTTAGGAGGACGAATCAGACTCACTCTGCGTATGCATGTGTAAGTGAGCAGTCACTAGATATCTAGTGTATGTTGGGATGTTGTGGTGGTGGTTGTTATAGTTCTGATGTTCTTGGGGCTGGCAACATATATACCTTGCTATGGGAGATCAGGTAGGCAGTGGGGGCATAATTGAAATTATGCCCTTCTGTGCTGGAAGAAGTGGCGCTTTGAATGGTGTTGAAGATTTGAAATTTGAGGAAGTAATAATACCTTTCTCGCCTTTTTGGCTTAAGTAAGGTCAAGTATTTAAGGGGGGCCTGGGGGGAGGGGAGGGGGGGGAGGAGGGGGGAGAACGAAATTTGAAATAGCAATTGTGCATCATTGTAAATCACAATGGCTTCTTATGATGTTGGGTTGCGTGTAGATTTACACATTGGCAAAGGATCTGTTCAAGTATCATCGGCAGAAGCTCTGCATCCTCCTTGGCGGCGCAAATCGACATAAAGAGGCAGAAAAACTTGCAAAGGGTGTGAGTGTCGTCATAGCAACCCCAGGACGGCTGCTCGATCATTTGAACAACACCAAGGGGTTTGTATACAAGAGCCTCAAGGTAAGAGGCTCCATTTCTTCTTATATACTGTTTAGGAAATACAGATTTACTAATTTAGTCTTAAAAAAAAACAGGAAAAAAAAAGGAGACGAACTCGGGAAAGGAAGTTAACCCCCTGACCGAGCTTTCCGTCCCAACACGCCCCTTCCTCAACCAATCCTGAACGGAACATGGTGCCACCTGGTCCATTCTGTCTGTTCCGTTCAGACTGGTTCTTTTCCGTTTAGTTCGGTTCAATTCCGTTGCATTTCATTCTGTTCCGTTCCATTCCATTCTGTTCCATTCTGTTCCATTCTGTTCCACCTTGTTCCGTATCAGTCTGTCCGGTTCTTTCTGTTCTGTTCCATTCCATTCAGTTCCGCCCCGTTCTATTCCGTTCCGTTCCGTTCTGTTCGTGGTGTTCTGTTTCTGTTCGGTTCTGTTCCGTTCTATTCTGTTCACTTCCGTTCTGTTCCGTTCTGTTCTGTTCTGTTCTGTTCTGCTCTGTTCTGTTCTGTTCCGTTCCGTTCTGTTCTGTTCTTGGTGTTCCGTTTCTGTTCGGTTCTGTTCCGTTCTATTCCGTTCACTTCCGTGCTGTTCCGTTCTGTTCCGTTCTGTTCCGTTCTGTTCCGTTCTGTTCCGTTCTGTTCTGCTCCATTCTGTTCTGTCCTGTCCTGTTCCGTTCTCTTCCACACACACACACACACACACACGCTTACACACACACACACACACACACACACACACACACACACACACACACACACACACACACACACACACACACACACAATGATTCTATTATGATTCGTGCTGTCTGTTAAAGAGAGATTTTTTTTTTAAAGTGTTGGGCGGACTTAGTCCGGTTCTACTCATCTGGTTGGAATAGGGGTTGTTGTGGGGGAAGCTTATAACACACACACACACACACACACACACACACACACACACACA